ATCCATTTGCATGTTTTGCGTGATTGTGAATGTGGGCCTTTAGGTTTTCAAAATTATGTTGAGCCAATGCGACCGTAATAACTAATACACTGCCGAAGTATTTCCCCAAGTGTTAGGTCATCCTTTCCAGCATATATCTCAAGGAATAGTGGAGTTGTTCGAAGGTATAAGGTCGATGTTTGTAGACTAGATCTTCGAGGTATCCCCACCAAAAATCGCAGCAGTTGAAATCAATGGAACCTTCCTAATCCCTCTACCTAAACCTCGGTTTGGTCAGTGAGCTTGTGTAATGTGTGACACCATTCTGCTACACCCTATGTTTGAATCTGTTACGTATGAAATCCTTAATACTGTGTATACATGTACGAAGTCACTGTATGCATAGTTAGCTTGGTTAGATGTATCAGAGGTGGCATAAGGATGTATTCTTTAGAGTTGGAAAATACGAACTACTTTAAGAAAGGGTAAAATACAACCTCTATTACTAGTACATTGAAATGCTAAAATTTTATTAAGCAACATGTGAGATTATACGATTTTCAAATGTTTTATAAATTCAAAGTTAGTTCTAAAGGTCTGCCCAACTCTATTCGGCCATAGTGGGTATAGTTTAAAATAGAACAGTATCATTTTTTTAATAAAGTATCATTTCCGTCATTACAGTGAACAATATTTTTTATTGTAAACTTCAAATAATACATACAACAGTAGTTTAAATTGATAAAAACTCAAATTAAATATCGTCTCACAGTTTGACTTTTGAGATTGAAGCATTGAGTTACAATAACAAAATTTAGCAATAATTAATGGTTGCTGTCTTTTAAACTAAACCGACAGTATCTCTAAAAATACATATTTAAACAAAAATCGAAAGCTAATAGGCCTATCAAATGAGGATGACTCAAATGTTGTTTAAAAAGAGGTTGTGGGCTTATGGGTAACTAGCAATGATGTTCCGTTTAGAATCAACGTGCATTGGCGATTTTGCATTTATTATTCATTTGAAATATTCATGGTGGATGGTGCTAGATTAGTGTTAAATAATAGTAGCGTATTACTAATAATTTAGACTATTATTTATATTTCCTTACAAAGTAGAGCAACCACCTTCAACCGGTTCATTTTTAGTGTCAATCTAGTTTTTTCTTAAAATAATTAAATACAGTTCAAAATTAATTCTGTTAACTTTATTATTAGTAACCTTGAAATTACCTGACCAATAAGCGATTTATTTCGTCTTTCAAGCGTAATATAACTGTGATTAGCGCCTAATATCGTGCTTATTTAAAAGAGGTTGTCGCTGTATAATATAGTTATCCTGTATCATGTGAAATCAGTGTATTTGAATTATATTTCTTCATATGAGTGACTCATTAAGTGGCGTTGATTCAGTAAAGCTAGTCAGTTCGAGTGATAGTGCAAGCTTAATATAAACAATGACTAGCACTAGCGGATAAGCACGATATTATCTAATTTTTTAAAGTTAGTGACCATTTTTTGTCCACATATGATGAAATAATATATTTTAATTTTGACGCTTGACGATAAAATAGTATGTAGAAGACTCAGTTTGCACATCCTCTGTTGTGGCAATCTTCTGTACTCAATAATAAAGTTGGTCTTCTACATTTATGGTGATATACTAATTTCAGTTTCTTTCAGTACATCGGTTTGACCACTATAAGAATCCTATAAGTTTAAAAACCAGAATAATAATAATAATAATAATATAATGTCCTAAAATTCACCCCTTAAGCAAAGATTGTGTGGGGAGGGGTTGGCTATATTTTTGCAGACTTGCGGATAATAGATGTTTTTCATTTACAGGAGAAAACCCGGAAAATCCCACCCACCATCATCAACACCATAACCCGTCCACCAAGATGATTGAAATTTAGATGTCCTATCAATAGAAATGCTGCTAATATCCTATCCATTAAATCCCATAACAAACTTGCAATAAAAATTTACAGTCTGCTGTGGGATTCGAACTGCTAACGTCCATGGCTACTTAATGCCCAATTTTTTTTCCAAGATAAATATCCATGTACGATAAATCAATAAAAACACATATCGAATAATTATGAGGTTTTATTGAAGTGCCAAGAGTAAAAATTTTTGTTTCAATAGTAAATGCTCTCTCCTACCACTGTTCCGCCTACATTTGTTGGCCATACTAAATTAAAGATAGTATAATTTTTACAGTTATTTGAAACGATTAAAAAGTGTAACCTATTTGATAGCAAGTGCTCTCTACAGGCGGATATATTTCCACTTGGCGTTATTCTTACCATCTAATTCACAAAACATCAAATTTTAAAATGCTTAAATATAGAAACGTTATTATGATCTTGGTAATCTGACATTTACAATTTTTTTCTATTGATTTCATAAATATGTTATCGAGAAAAATGTTAACGAATATTTAGATTGGAGAAAACAAAATCTCATTTACTAATATTTTTTTTTTTTATAATCCTAGTCCGTTATATTTTTTATTTATTGTTGGTTTTGTGGTCATCTGTGTTAGTGTATGGGTGCTGGGCCCCTCTTTTTCTATTTTACTGGCCCTCATAGAGGTCCGAGTATCAATTATAAAAAATTTTGTTTTAAAGTTTTTTTTTTGTTAATTACCATGCGCTTAATTATTCTTAACAACTTGTAAATCTGAACCATTTATCACCATATCTGGATTAAATATGTTAAAATACTCGATAGGCATTTCTTCCTAATGTTACATTAAGAAATAATTCGTCGCTAACATGATGAAGGGGCGTATCTCAAAAATTCCTGGATTTGAGTTCGGTCCATCAAAAGGCGTTTTCGGAATTTATACATACATTTATACACGTTATATATTGGCATTGATATCATGTTATTAGCTTTTTTTAAACAACTTTTAAAGATTTAAATCCAGATTGAAGTTAATAAAAATCTTTAAACTATAATTTATATAAAAGTATTTAAAATATGTCGTTCAGACCACCCGAACACGATGTTCAGACAAAAATATTTGGTCCCTCTACATTGGCCTGGTTTAACTTTACGTCGACCTGATGAAAGTTTGCCTAATTGGGAGAAGATTGAGTGTTTTGTTAAACCTTAGGGACATTTTTCTGATCATGCGACCTATTTAAAAAAGTATGTATGTAGGTATTTTGCATGTTTATTTGTTAGAAATCCCATTTTCAAGGTCAATCCTTAAAATAATGATATTATTTTATTCTTGGAATTGGTTTTGTATTTAGGCTCCACCTTCAGTTAACTTTTATATATCTGCACTTCTAATACCCCGCATGCATCTTTGTACTGTACATTTTTCTTTTAGTTATGTATAAAGATTTTTAAAGATTAAATTAAATAACCATGGTTTTATCTACTTATAAATGTATTTTTTAGTTGTTTCCTTAGATTTGCAATACTTTTGTTTTAATTTCGTAATGTAAAATTGACCATACACATTAACATTAGCGCTAATCTTGGAGCGTTGCAAATTTGCATTTACTTATAGGAAGTTATATAATACGGTACTGTAAAATTTGCATGACTTTTCAAATTTTTTTGCGACTGCAAGAAGTGTTAATTTTTCAAGGTTCCGGACCTTGTCCGAGGATGCAAATTTACCAGATTCTTGAGAAAAATATTAACATTTGCAACCAATTTTCAAAACTTTTGCATTTTTTTGTGACAAAATTAGAAGAAAATTTTGCTATAAAAAAATATTTCCGTGCAAAATAAAAAGCTCCAAATTGGAATAGCTGTTCCAAAAAACTTTGAGTTATGTCATCGGTTTGCAGCACTTTGCAATTTTTTATCTAGGATATAAACAAAAACGCTATTTCACAAAAAAATAATGTTTCGCACTTTCAAATAAGTTGCAAATCTGATATAATGTGGAAAATGATACAGTATATATTGCTTCAAGTTTGCAGCAGTTTTGCAATGTTTTTTAGTTAGTTATAATAAATTTTAATTTTTTACAATTATTAATGTTTCGCAGTTTCAGAAAAAGTTGCAAAATTAAATTTATAATTATTTCAATTTAATAAATATTCCAACAAAGTTTGAAAACTTTTGCAATTAATGTGAATTGATTATCTTTAATGGACTGGCCTATCAGGTGAGTCTGACTCGGCTGAGTCGTCCTTTAACGAAAATCGAAGGACGGTTATACCGTGTGAACTTAGAGATGGGTAGTAACAATTCCGTAAATGTACTTAATAGTTACGGATTCGAAATTATACCCAAACTTACATTTTCGACTCAGCTGAGATCGGTTTATAAATATGGGCCAAAATGTTTATTGATATGGCACAAAATTACAACTTCAAGATTTTCGTTGACTTTTATGGTTTGGAAGAAAAACTATCGTCAATTCAGAGAAAAATAGAGTTAGACAATGGTGTGATTTTTCAATCACACTTTGAATCTTTACTGTGATTAGTATAGTTCAAATAAATGAGGTTGTTTCCTCAAATTATTAAAAAAAATTTAATATTTTAATTAATATTTTTCTGGAAAACATTTAAGAAATCTTTAATAAAATATGTAAAGAATGTCCGTTTACCAAGAATAAAATAAGCAATTAACAGTTCGTGAAATTTTCATTATTATGGCGTTCTCTAAGATTTCACATGTGGGTAAATTTTAAAATGATTTGTGAGGTAGGCTATAAATGACTTAATTTGACGTACGATTGCACAACCCGTCATATGACTTTAATAAATATGCATTATATACGTATTTAGTAAAATTAAATAATTAGCAATGATTATATTGTAGGTACGTTAAAAAAAATAATGGTTTCATCTGCAAAAATTCATTACATTGAAATTTAGTTTAGTTCCTTTACTTTCAGATTTTTGGGTGTTAGCTTTGCACTGATTACAAAAAATGTTAATTACTTTTCTATGTATTAAAAGCGAATTCATTAAGATATAATCATTGTAGGTATTTTAACCAGTTTATTTTTTAAATTTTGTAATGAATAAAGTACTTACCGTATTTGTGGTATTTCCTACAGATACGTTTGGACTCTTTTTATTCCCCTTCTTCTTTGGCGGCCTATTCGTCGTACCACCTACAAAACTTTCTTTACTGAGTATACATCTTTGTCTATTTAAAGAGCATACCTTGAGTGCTACCGTTATTACAATAGGTTTTACCACAAAAACAAGATTTTGCATTATATATTAAATTTAATAAATTTCATTCATGTTAATGCTTACATTTTTACTTTCCATTCGCATTTTAAATAAATATACAAACAGTAACTTCTAAATATTTAGCATGGAAACTCTAAACTACTTCTAGAGGCAAGATATTATTTTGCAAACGCTAAATAAATTATGTACAAAAAATAATTTCTATTAATATATTTACACAGTAAATAACCCCCCGACTGTCCCACACATACCCAAAACACAATAAAGAAAATATCAAATTAAAAATAAAAAGAATAGAAAATGATCAAATAGAATATATTTAAATTAAAAGTATGCCAAATACATAGAAAAACAAAATTATATATAAAAGTGTTGAACAATGATTAAAAATACAGTGCAAAAAATCGGTTTATTTAAGTGAGATACAAGGTAAAGTATGTATAACCATACTCAATAAGAATTTTTTATGTTAAGGAATAAGGATACATCATAAAAATAATGATACTAAAAAAAAGATTGGAAAAAATCACTAGACTCATGAACTCTTCAATTCAAGATTACAATAAATCGTAAATTAATAATAATATGTACATTTTACATCACAACATAAGTAAATTGATATGAGACATTTACTTTTTTATAATAATCTACCTATTTGGTGTATTTTCCAAACTAATCCACCCTAAATATTTGTTAAAATTCAAAAAATTGAACATTTTGTACATTTCTGCCTTAGTTTTATTTTTTCATATAAAACTCATGATTTATAAGTAATAAAAATAAATGTTATCCTACTTATCATTGTTCATAGTCAGCATAAAAAATAGTTAATGAAATTAAAAGAACATATTAACTCAAAAAGCCTTATCTGCAGACATTTTCTCAAATTTCGAGTGCTTCGTCAAATATTTAGAATGGAAGATTTTGAACGAAACACCCTGTATATTTTGGACAATAAAAGAGCTCTAAACTTACAACTTGCCTCTACTTTTTATAAATAATTGCCGCTTTCTAATTTCTTCAATACTCCTCGATAATATATAATCATGTCCAAGCCAAAAAATTTCCCAAAATATTGAAAACGTGTTGGTTGGAGGGGTAAAAGCTGATATTATGCATTACTTCCAATATTTCCAGTAATTCTTCAGAAATGATTAATTTCATGTCCCTGGAGAACAATGTAAATATTTTGTGGTTATTTCAAATCATTTTAACTTGAAAAAACATTCGAGTTAACAGTTTTTAAAACAATTTAATATTTGATTTAGTTGATTATTAAATGTTTAATTTAACATTAGAAAATAAAATTTTAAAATAGATATAACTGAAGAAGCATTGGTCCCGTCAGTTGTTCAATGCGCTTTCATTAATATTATTTTTTAATCACAATGTATACCATGATAATATTCAAATAAATTTAACAACTTAATGATCATTAAGTTCTGGCTAGTTTGATTTAAAGGAATAAGTAATCGTTGCTAAATTGCAAGTATTTCTTATGATCTTTTGTTTGTGATCTGTGCATATACAATTACTTTTACAAATTTTACCAAACTTATCTTCATATATCGATAAATGGCAGAGGTTTAAAATGTTTATGAAATCATAAAATTTTTGTTATTTTAAAACTATTTCTTTAATAAAAAAAATATGGGCTTGGATTGTGTTAAGTATATCAATAAACCTACAAACCATAATCTATCTAATTAACAATATAATTTATTTTATTATGTAACTCTCTCATTAATCTATCGATTTAATATATCAGTCAACATTTAAAAACTGTTCAAATCAAATGAATTTGTTTCTAGATTAAACAAAATATGTTTTAAAACAAGGGAATATCGTTAAAATAATTCATTAAAACATGAGAATTTATGAATCCTCAAATTTTGTGTTTTAATTACTCAGAAAACAATTCGAGTATCTAAGAAAAATTGCGTATATCTAAATGTCAAAGATGACTATTTATACAGTACTTATTATTTTGTATTAGACATAGCCGTGCTTTCACAGCAAACATGTGGCAACTACGATATCCCGGCTATCGCTATGCTCTCTAGCTTTGTACCTTACATTCGGTTCGGCTAATATTCTAAGCCTAGTCAACGACTGGCTGTTGCCCTGTTGCCATTTTATTTTATTATACTAGTCGTATGCCTAACACGAAAAAATAAGCACTGTATGTCAAATGATATGGGGATCTATTTTTATAAAATATAAATTTTCCAACTGGCCGACTTCAGTAGACAGTAGATAAATCAAATCTACTGGTTGATTAGAGTATTGAAAAAATTAAAATATTTAGGAAATAATCCAGCCTAGAGTGCAAACAATGTGGATGGTGGCCAACCTAATAACCCAAATAATGCTGACCAATATTTGTTAATATAAAATAAAAAACTTAAACCATACAGTACCACGGACTAAAACTTTTGTGGTGTTCACAATACGTTTTTCTTACCTTTTGTTTAGTTAGTTTTTGTAACCTACCTATAATGCATGGTGTTGCAAAAATTCAAACACAAACTATTAAATACAGTCAATGAGAAAATAGTAAACATAAAAATTGAGATGTCAAGTAGTTCAAAAAAATTTCTAAACTAATAGAATATGCCCTATTGTGGTTTAAGATCTATTTTATTTTTCAAAATGAGAAATGTCTGTAATGGCACATAACTTATTTTTAAATTGTTTCAACTTTTTAGGATTTCTAGAATTTCAAATATAAAAAAATATTATTTTTTTATAACCAGAGGTAATTTAAAATTATTTATAAGATCCTGACATAATTCAATGACAGCATATTTATTGTAAATATTATGCGTTAAACATTATTATGTATACATACCTACTAAAAAACAACTTTTTATTATATATAAACTGTATTTCCTTTTACTTAAAGCAAATTTAATAGAATTATATAATTATTTGGTTCTAAATAATGTCGTGACATACTTATTTAATGACAGAAAACTTGAATTTTTGCATTTTGCATGCAATTGTAGTGAACACCAGTAAAAATGGTTTTCAAGCATTAAATATACTTTTTTCAATTTTTCTTCAAATTGATATTGATTGAAAAAAGTAGACTTAATAAAAATATAATTTTTATTAAAATCTTGACACTTAAGCCGCCACACACATTGTCTGCATAAAAATGTAGCGCGGATGCGGGTGAAAAAAGTAAAAACAACACTTAAAAATCACCTTAAAACAATTTGTCCTTCGACAATATGGATATGAAATGCAAAAAATTGTTTTGTGGTAAAGACCCAATGGCCTGTATGGTTGTGGTCCGGTTAGAGCACCGTATCCACACGGTTTATGCACTCAAGGTAGTATTAATACTAACCGCAAACGTTTCGACAAATAACTCGAATTCATCTTCAAGATTATTTTTCGAAATGCGGCTTCCATAATACTTCTATGTGTAAAAATTCAATTCAAAATTGTCGTTTGCGACATATAAAAACAAAACAAAAACCGATGATCAGATCATTACTTAATAAAACAGAAGTAATTTCATATCGACTCAACTAAGGTATTAAAAACAACTCACTAACATTGCCTAGTAAAAACAAAAATATCACTGTCTAATAATAATTGCGATATATTTTTGTAATAACTGCAAATCAATTTAAATCAAACAAAAAATATTATTAGAATAAAAGATTAATTATAACGAGTTGTGTGAAAAATGTATTTATTATTTATGACACGTCACAAACCAAATAAGTTTGTAAACAACAAATATCAGGTTAGTTAAAAATCGCATAATTTATCACTTTTTATCATATAACACATTTCACTCACAACATAACTTGCGCTAGAATGGACAATTTGTTGTATTTATCCTAACTTGTTTTGGTTGTGCATTTAATAAAGCAAATGACAGACAAACAAAATATTCAAGTCAAACTTGATAGGAAGAATCTCTTATTACTTTAAGCACATCAAAATTTTTGTCTGCAAAGATTTTATCATTTTATTTTTTACCAGTCTCATTGATGATTATAAAAATTAAGTAAATTTAAACTTTTAAAGTGTTAATGCTAATATACTTTCTATTATTAACAGATAGAGGAAATATTGCAGTTTTTCAATATTGTAGTATTTGCTTTTCGAGGTAATCTTTTTAATATATAAAGATTTTTTAACTTATTTGAATTGATATGAAATCACATATAGCGGGAGGCTTGGTAGAGACGTTTTTGTACAAGGAGAGATTAAATTTTACAAAAAGTGAGTCTCTTAATATTTTAAAATCTAAAAACCCATCGACTATTAAATAAATGGGTATCAACTTAAACGCGACAAACTCACATATAACAAAACAAAAAAGAATTGCTCACTCTTCATAGTAAAAAATAAATCTCCTTGATTATTGTCTCAGTGAAATTGAAAAATATTCATACAAGTAATTCTGTTTTTAAGAGCACCAGCGAAATGTATGAGTACATTTATTTATTTTAATTTTATGACATGTACTTTAAACTATTTCAGTATAAAAACTTTCAGTTCATTGATTCTTTAAATAAAACCGGCCATAATTATTTGTTCGCTTGTTTTTTCGAATTAAATTTGGAAAAATATTGGATTATAAAAAAATTACAATAATTACCCAAAATATAGTAGCTAAAACATTTCCAGAAACTTAATATTTTCTATATCACATAAAAAAAAACATTAAAATCAAAAAAACTAGCGAATCTTTGGTAGCACAATAATAGTTCCATAAAACTATTAATATATCTAGGCGTTTCAAAATTTACCAACTAAAAATAAATTAAATATTGTTCAGTTGGTATCTTTGAAATAGTTTCTTAGAACTCGATAGGCAAATGTATTAAAAAAAATATCAAATGGTAAGCCCTTTTTGAAACCCCTTTAAATATATTTTTATTATATAATGTGCCACCTTTGTCTTTAAGTCTCAATAAAAACATATGTTCTCTCTTTCCTTCAAAAGCTACAATATTTACATATAATTTTCCTATCTTTTGCATACAAAGTGTTTTTGCCACCTAATCTCTCTTGAGTTCTGCTTAAAAAAACTGGATTCTTTCGGATATTTTTAATTTACAATTTTATACCCTATACAGTGATGGTATAAGAATTATTTTAAGTGAATTTACAGATTTTTAAAATTATTATTGGAAAGTTTAAAGTGAAAATTTACTATATAAATCATCCTGGAATTTTCTTTTTAAAAAAATTGTTTCTTGTATTTGTCCAAATCATTGAGTGTTTTTAGAGGATGATATAATTTTTCCAACAATTAAAATCTGGTAAATTCAGATAACATTTTATCCGAAATTCCAAAATAAATACTTAAAGCAATGGCACCTTAAACGTCCCATTAATGTCTTGCCCATTTATTGTTTAGGAAGTGTTTGTTTTACTGAATGCCAGATATAGAAGAAATTAATGTTAATACTGTAACACTATTGGTTAAAAATATATAGTTTTGAATTGATATTATTGTCGATTCTTGCAGATTATTTTACAAAAAATGTTAGCTGGCAATGTAATTTGAAACAAGAAATAGATTTTCAAATGGCGTTAGTTTTGGAAAACATGAACAATTGGTGTAATTTTAATTGCATTTTTATTAATTTTTCGTTGACATTTACAGGGCTGATTGCATCGTATTTTGCAAAATATGTGGAACCCTATATTGACAAAAGAAACTAACCCAAACACAAGAGCTATAAAGAAGCTATTCACTGACTTTTTATGCTAAAATAAAGATAAAATATTTCTTCCTCGCGACCGAAGAATAAATTTCCAATATATCACAAAGATATCTGTGAAAGTGCAGGCGCTATTTAAATATTAATATGTACTAGTTTGAGAAAGAGGAAGAAAAATGAATTGGAGCAATTAATTTTCTGTAGGTTTTAGATATGGTACGACAATGTTTGAATTACACATTATGTATGTGTAAAATGACAACAGTGTAATTATTGGCCGTAGATAAGATACAAAGAATGACGCTATGCAGAAATGCACAAGGATTCTTATGTGAGAACTCGACACGTTATGTGTCGAATAGGTAGAGACATTAGATAAGGATCGCAGTCTGTCAAACAACAATAGGCATCTCGACAGGTATCATATTGAAATATGATAATTTCACTGCAGTTGTACTACTACAGTTAAATACTGAAATAATAGACATTAATTTAATGTCAAAAATGAGAATGCTGACACCACTGAAAAAAAAACCTTGTCTGGTAACCTCCAAAAATTTGTCCAATCTTTAACGAAATGACAATTCTTCACACATTAACATTAACTAACGATGCCGAGTTGCTAAAAAAAAACATTTTGTAATGAGATTATCTAACAGTTCTACCATGTATAGTCTATGTATAGTATAGTCTGTGTATAGTCTATGTATAGTATAGTCTGTGTATAGTCTATGTATGGAACAAAGAGAAACATAATAACGTATTTAACAATAGTTTTGGCAAAAACGTCATCCTTATTGTAAATGCTTTTAAATCTATTACGTGGAAATTGTCATGGAACAACATATTGCGTACCATAGCATATGTTGTTTCATAAAAATGTCCACAGAATAAATAAGATTTCCATATAATAGAATTAAAAGCATTGAATAAGGAGACAATTTTTGCCAAAACTTTTTAACATACGTTACTATCTTCAAATTTGAAACCAAGTTCTAAAAAGAGCTCACCAATAACAACACTTGGTAAGCAATTTATTAAAACTTACCAAACACAGAGGGCTAATCAAAGATAGTATCTGAAAACGGGAATAGCAATGGAATAACAATAGGCTCAAGATGTCGGATGTTCTGGGCTATAATTATATAACCCATATCTGCTTAAAATCGACAAAAGATAAACACAGAGACGAGTAGAGGTAAAGGCATCAATTATGGCATTATTAAAAAATAAGTCTAATATTTTTGTACATTTATCCTCAATTGCATTTTAAAATTTAATAGAATTGACCACAACATTAAAAGTGGCTAAATAATTATTTGTAAAAGGTCTAGATTATCATTTACCAATAAAATTGATTTAAGAAAACTGCCTTTGGCTTTTTAATTTAATTTTTCAGTTTATTGGATCTAGATTGTCTCTTTTTAAATTTAAATAAATTTGCCATTTATATAAATTAGTTCATGTCAATGACTATGGTTTTGCTATAAACTATTTATAATTTTACATAATATATAATAACTGTTACGGTATAACTATCATTGTAGATTTTATTTAGACCTTAAAGGACTGTTTGGACTTTCCATGTTTATTTAAATTAATATCAATAAAGTAATAAAACAAGCACTACTTTTAATTTACTGTATTTTAATCAACCAGAAAGTAACGAGATTTAATGTACGCCACTTACTGTTATATAATAACAAAAAGTAATAATTAAATTATTATTTTTCTTTTGAGCAATCAATCAAACAACATTGTACTTGATTCCATATCCAGTTTTCAATAAAACAAGTTCAAATCCAACTTACTAGGCAGACTTCAAAAATTTTCCGAAAAAGAAAAACTTGACTGGTAAATTTGGTTCGGTCAGACACAACCTTTTAAGTATTTTATTTAAGACACCAATCTAGCACTCGTATCAAGAACTAATCGTAAGACGTATAACGTTTATGTGAAAGCTAACCTGCTTCGCTGTCACTGGAATCACTAGAACTCGAAGATAAACTGCTGCTACTGCTATCCGAGTCGGAGCTGCTGGAACTAGAGGAGAGGCGACCAGAGGGACCACCGGCACCTGTTGGATCCACTTTGTTTGATTCATCTGAAACAAAATAAAAATACTGTTTTAATCTACCATTTTTAATAACCAGAATTTAGTTTAAGTTATATTTAAATAAAGAGCTGAACTGCCCTCCTAAGCTAAAAATCGGTATCAGTGAGTTTCAAGAAAAAAACATTAATATTTGTTTTAAGTCAAAAAAATTATTTAGATACCGCTGGATTGCTTCAAATTATTTCTTGCTTTTAAATATTTTTTGTTTTAGCTTTGTAAAATGAGCTAAATAATAATTACAACTTGTGTAAATAATTATTTTTCACAAAAGGTAACATATTTGATTCCATGGAAGAAAATAACAAAATTGCTAAAATATAATTTGAGTTCTCTTAAATAAAAAATATATTTATTGTGTTAAAAGATCACATTAATAAATCTATACTTTGTCACACTGAGATGTCAGTCTAACCGACGCACTGATATTTAATTGAAAAAACCAGATAATGGATATAGAATACAATAAAGCGTCGATAATCTGGACGTCAATAATCCGGATTCAATTCCAGTGAAAAAAAAAGTTCAGCTGAATACATACATATATATTTGTCAAACGGGGTCGTTTTAACCGCTACAAAATGTATAAACTTTACAATATTCTGTAAATACATATTGTACATTACACGATGGTTAAGTTAAATTCTAACATGTCGTAACCCACAATATTTTAGAAATTGCGATTTTTGCATATTTAAACTTCCCGTGCCAACCCAAAGGTAATTCTAATAGCTTACAGCCTTCCTACAATAGGATAGCTAAATATTATTTCGAAAAGGTCGTGTAATACTTTACATAATGTTTCGTGTACGATCACAAAATGTTTTTTGTCTCCTGTAAAATTTTATTTTCCCAGGACAAGACATGTTAGAACTTAGCACTGATATCTATGTATAATTCTTTCATTAAAATACATTATAAATCCATATTTTTTAATGGTTTTATTTATCTGCTCAATTATTTAATCACAAAAGTGAATTATTAACGGTTTTAGCAAGTTTTCTTTTTGTTAGGCACTCAAACGACCTATGTTGAAAATTCAATATTTTGATAATCCAGACAGGGTCCGGTCCCAATTAATACGGATTATAGAAGCTCTACTGTACTCTTTATTATATTAATGAGCAAACTACAACATGTGAATTCTTATTTATAAAAACAACTACAGAGAAGTAAACATAATTAAAACATATTTCAGGGTTTCTAAAAATTGCCAAATTTCTAAAATTTTTATTGATAACTGTTAAAAATATATTAGTCGTTTGGTAAAAAGCTGATGTTTCCCAACTACTTTTGAAACGAAACATTTTATGATCGACCGCTTTGAAGCCATATAATTGAAACAAAAACTTTGATAGTTTTATTTGTATTTTATATATTATTTTTTATTGACGTTTGAATCCCCAAACAATAATTATAGTAATAAAGCAGAATCGTATGTTTACATTTTTAAAATTAACAATTTGGTATTTAACAGAAAAAGGAATCACAAAGTCTCTCAATAAGTATATCAACCAGTAGTTTTAAATAGTGAACATTAAAATTTATGGTCCTGATAACTTTCGTTATATGTCTAAATGATATGAACTTCAAATTATGAACATTCTAATAAAGTAACCGAATCATTAGCTATTTAGATTTAATAAGTGTTCTTGTAACAAGGTGTTTGTATTTTCCTTCTTCATAAAATCTATTTCAAACCACTCTTATTATGGATTAAAATGCCTTAAATACAAATTATGTTTATATTGCCAAATATGATATAAATTTTCTCAGGTAATCCATTTATGATATATTTAAAAAATATTTTATTTAATAAACAGAAGGGTGTTACTTCGGTTCTTAGACTAAATCTTAAAAGATGAATGCCTTAATAAAATTTTCACTTATTTTAAACTGAATAAAAATGTATTCTGTTTTGACTTTTATACAATCACTAGCTGACCCGATCCCGCTACGCTAGAATTTCTCAAACCTCAATTAATAAAAGTGAATAACAGTTTTCGTTACTTGAGAGAAATGTTTTCATGCGATACCTACCAACATTTTTATTAGTTTTATTAATTATTATTTTTTATAATTTTCATTATTTTTTATTAATTTTCATTATTTTTTAATATTTTTTTTTTCTTTTATTAATTATGAATATTTTTTATTACGTTTTATTAATTTTAATTTAATTTATTTTAATTTATTTTAATTTATTTATTTTAATTTATTTATTTTAATTTATTTATTTTAATTTATTTATTTTAATTTATTTATTTTAATTTATTTATTTTAATTTATTTATTTTAATTTATTTATTTTAATTTATTTATTTTAATTTATTTATTTTAATTTATTTATTTTAATTTATTTATTTTAATTTATTTATTTTAATTTATTTATTTTAATTTATTTATTTTAATTTATTTATTTTAATTAATTTTAATTTATTTTAATTTATTTTAATTTATTTTAATTTATTTTAATTTATTTTAATTTATTTTAATTTATTTTAATTTATTTTAATTTATTTTAATTTATTTTAATTTATTTTAATTTATTTTAATTTATTTTAATTTATTTTAATTTATTTTAATTTATTTTAATTTATTTTAATTTATTTTAATTTATTTTAAATTTTTATTTATTTTCATTTTTCATTTATTTTTATTTATTTTCATTTTTCATTTATTTTTATTTATTTTTACGATAGTCTTCATTTCCCCCTCCTTAAAATGTGAAAATCCAAAAAGCTTGAAATACGTCCTTATTTACTTATTCCAAAATTCAGATTCGTACTATTAAAAACCGAAGGTTTTATTCAAACTTTCTTTCACCTTCCGTTTCCCCCCTTAATATGTAAAAATCCAAATACCTTGAAATATATCTATTTATTTATGATGAGTACCTACAATTCCAATTTTCAAGTTCTACCTATAAAAATATCGATACTTCCTTGCAAACTTTCAACCCCCGTTTCCCCCCTTAAAATGTAAAAATCCAAAACACTTCATTATTTATTTATGCTAGTAGCAGTATTTCAAATTTTCTAATTTCACTACGACTATGCAAAAAACCTCGCTCTGTAAAAAAAAAACAAATCGATCCCACGGGAACCGTACATTTTTTAAGACAAAAACTAGCCTATGTGCTATTCCAGATTATAATCTATCTTTGTGCCAAATTTCATCCAGCTCCGTTCAGCCGCTCTTGCGTGATTGAGCAACAAACATCATCCGTAAAAACGATAAGTAGTCTCGATATCCTTTTTCTTCCAGTAGGCCAAGCTTCCTGAAGTCAGCAATACCAGGTAATCCCCTTTAATATGCTCAGACATATGTGCAGGCACACTCAATATTTCCTGGTCAGTGTCTTACACCAGTTTTCGCCCACTAAATCTTTTAAATTTTCGGATCTTTTCAACTCCTAATACCGGGCTACTACGTATTTCTTTAAGAAGGGATCAGATCCCATAAATGAACACTGGTTGGGTATAGGACATTATAAATCACTTTTGTGGGATGTATGTTGGACTGACACATTTTCCAAGTCAATACACTCGTATTTCAGTTTCTCTTGTGATTTTAGAATCTACCTTTGAATGGTATGCTTTTTGGTTACGAAGGTTATTGACTTTTGGTTTTCCATTTGATCCTATAGTATTGAGTTTTCACAAAAAACTCAAACTCTCGAACATTTCATCTTGGGACACGTCCTAGGTACGCTGATCTCCAGACCTCGACCTGTAAGACTTCAGTCTTAATGCTTCGTCCCGATAATTCTCGCTCCTTTATTTACCATAAAATTATGAGGTGGGTTTTAAAATCACTTCCATGGCAGTCATCATAAGATAGATTCAGTGCAAAAGTGATACAAACCCAAGCTTGTCTTTGTTTCTTTGAGATATTACCTCTGGTACTGAGTAGTAAATTTATAATTAAATTAATAAGAAATTGAATACATTTTATCATAAAATTGAAAAAATGCGACGTCGATTTTTCTCTAATTTTTATATTTCTTTTCAATGTAATCTATCAAAGTTCGGTCTTGAGTTCATTTCTGTTTCTTTGCTACGAGTAAAAATTACAGATCGCATACAAGTACCGAGAAATTTAATGTAATATCTATTATTCAACAATGAAATAACAACAATTCTATCTAATTAAAGTCGTGATTCACCAGGATCACACAAAACGAAGAATAAAACAAAAATTAAATAATGAGAATAGTCTCTGCCTGTGGATCCAAGGGTCCCAGGTTCGAATCCCACCGTTGGCCGGGATTTTTTAATTTAATTATTTAAAATTAATTCTGATGCCTTGTTAGGATTTCCCACTCGACCATTCACTGTTAGGTGATAACTAACAGTGCCGTTCCTAAAGTGGCGCTATGAAACAGTAACAACGCCTACACAGAACACGAGGCTAATGGCCTTAGTAGTCGATGCCGATGACGCCAAATTAAAAAAAAAATAAATAAAATAATGAGAATAAACGACTCTAATTGCTTTAAATAGTTTAGTATTTTGTCATAAAAGAGTGCATCAATGTAGCTTCTGATATTGTTTGATAACTGGCTTGAATTACACAGAATGTTGAACTATCGAAGCACAAATAACCAGAGATCTACTATACTTAGAATGTAGTTTTCATAATAATTCAGTGGTGATGGAATTGCAATAAAAATGTGTGGCAAAAAGCGATAAGTTTAGGCATTGGGGATCCATCTTAGAAAATGATGGAGAATTGATTGAAGTAGGGAAAGTTGGGAAAAGTTCTACTAGAAAACTGTTGACTGCAATTAGTACTTGGATGGAGAAACCCTACAGAAATAAGTCCAACAATTTTGAATATTTCTAAAATGTAAAGTAACAATAATCATATTCGGTAATTAAATATCCTAGTCAGAAATAGAAATTAGAAAAAAGTCCACCTGATTTCCTACAGATTGAAACGGATTATTTCTTGGTTGAATGTAAGTAAGCATTACAAACACCTAAACCCAATGTAATACACTAAAAGAAACTATTGCAAAAAAAAAAAATATTAAATTTTTTTATACAGTGAGCATCATAAGTCTTACCCCCTCTAACTAAGTCGTTACTGGAGTCTTGTTAGGAAAATCGCCGAGACAGGTCGATTTTTGATTTCTACAATGTACATTTTTGTATGATTAGTTTACCCTTAATTTCATCCCTTACTGGAGGGGAGCAACCCTTTCGAAAAATTTAAATGGCATGGGGTATTGAGTGATAGCTCATTTAAAAGGGGGTTTTATTCTCTATTCAACCGTGCAAAAAATTTTGAAATTTGCCTTATTACGTGTTGATTTATTAATGTTTAAAAATAACAAAACCTCACAAAATAGGAAAGAAATTAAACTAACAGTGACCTTCTAATGGCAAAAAGTCTTACTTCACGTCTGAACCAAAACCGAAATCATGCAGGGCCGAATTTTAATTCTAACGATGAGTGCGCTACGTTAATTTCCGTTATTCTGAAACAACAATTAGTCGAGAATTAATGAAACAAATTTCAAATTTTTTTTACATGGTTGAATAGAGAATAAAACCCTCTTTCAAATGAGCCATCACTCACCACCCCATGCCATTTAAATTTTTCGAAAGGGTTGCTCCCCTCCAGTAAGGGATGAAATTAAGGGTAAACTATTCATACAAAAATGTACATTGTAGAAATCAAAAATCGACAAGACTCCAGTAACGAGTTAGATAGGGGGGGGGGGGGGTAAGACTTATGGTGCTCACTGTATAAAAGACCTATATCGGTTATTTGAGTATTAAACAAAACAAAAATATCTGTAATAATTTCATTTATAAATAGTGAGTCAACCTAAGAGGTTTGTACCTTCTCTTCGCAAGAAAAAAATATCACAGAAGAATAAATTAATATATCCCAATCTACGAATCGGAGAATGGTGAATTTTAACAAAACGACTAAGATTTTAGATTAGATGATTTGGACATCACAAAAATTGATTAAGAGAAACTAGTCAAACAAAATTCGAAATAATTGGGTGGTCACAAAAAATGGGATAAAGGCTTATGACAAGATACTGTAAAACAAAGGAACTATTAGATTAGAAGTCAATGTCCAGAAATAAGTTTATCCAACAATACACCTCCTAAATTGTTTTATACAGAGTGTCCCACAATTCCTTATACATAGAACCTATATCACAAAGTGCTTCGTTTGCCTGTGAGGAAGCTTCAAAGTTAAAAAAAAAATTTAATTTTTCAAAAACGCTTCGTTCGATTTTTATAAAATTTGGAATGTAGCTATTTTAATAATTGAAAAGCCATTGTTCAAACCAAAATTACACCAACTGAAATCATTGAAGGGTAAAAATCACCCTAATCCTACCATAAATGATATCAATTTTTTTTATGGAGAGCTGTATTCATTTGTAGCATTTTTTTGTCTGTGGCAAAAAGCATTTATCTCATAGTATTTGAGTAAAAAAAATGTACCGACTGATGGTTAGTGACTTAAAATTTTCAAGAAAGCTAAGGCAGTTATAACTAACGCAACCCGAACACTGTCGCTTTTAACGTTATTACAAAAAAAAATCAATTGGCATACTGCCGTGTTAGTTCAAATGGGCGTATCCGTTTAATACTTGAACGTGAGAAAAATCGATTTTGCAAGAAAAATTACTTACGCCCAAATTTCTAAGCGTTAAATTTTGTATTTTATAGAAGATACATCCATGAAAGTTATAGAGATGGACAAAAAATTCATTGTTGTCATGCGTAGTGGTCATATCAATATTTCAAGGAAAATTGTAGTTACGGCCATTTGAATTAACACGGCAGCATAGGTATCGACGGAAAAATAACAATTCAAGCAGATGGTTAGAGACTTCAAATTTTCAAGAAAACTAAGTCGGTGGTTGCCAACTTTACTAAATAAAAAATTTGATAATTTTGACAGATATGGTGAAGAACTGTAAAAATTGTTGATACTACTCATTTTATGTATTGCATTTTATGTTTCGCTTCCTAGTTCTTGTGAAGGAGTTATTTCAAACATTTTGTGGCTGGTATGGAGTACACATTTAATGAACATACAGACATGTAGCTAGTGCTTGGTGGCAACTGTCGTGAATCACCAGACTCTTGCTTCTATCGAGAAGCGATTTAGAGAACTGGTCAATTGAAACCAAACAGAAATAATTCTGAACGACCTCATCAAGCCAGAACTCCTGCTGCAGAGGAGGGAATACTTGAATAGTTGAAAATAATCCCGGAATTAGTACCCGATGACTGCCACACCATACTAGGGTTTCAAAAAACACACAGAATAATTAGAGAACAACATTCAAAGTGTCCAGGAACTCCTACCTCCTGATTATGAGCCTCGTTCAAAAATTTTGTACAAGTCATTCAAGAGCGGAGAGCGGCCGCAAATAAGTTTTGTTTACAGCCAGTCATGCTTTACACGACGTGTTAAAACAAATGCACATAACGAACGTGTTTTCGAAGATGAAAATCCACATGCCATTAAAGAAAAACATTTTTAATAAGAGTTTAAAATTAATGTATGGGTTGGTATTATTGACAACTACTTGATTGGTGCATTTAGATTGCCAGATCGTCTTAAGGATGACAATTACTTGCATTTTCTACGTCAAGATTTAATCGAACAATACCATGAAAGATGGATTGGCAGAGGTCGGGATGCTCCTATTCAGTGGCCACCTCGATCACCGGACAGTTATCCTTGTCATTATTTTATCTGGATTCACTTGAAAACCAAAGTGTCTGAAGTTCCTATCGACAACATTAAACAATTATGGGGTTGGATTCAAAACCTAGTTTTCTTGAAAATTTTAAGGCACTAACCATCAGTCCATTTTTTTGCTCATATACAATGAGAGATACATTGCAAACAAGCAAGAGACAAAAAATGCTTCAATATATGATTTCATGATTTTAGTTGGTGTAATTTTTACTTTGACCAATGGCTCTTTAAGTAAAATAGCTATATACCAAATTTTATAAAAATCGAACAAAGCGTTATTGAGTTATTAAAAAAAATTAAAATATTTTCTCAACTTTGAAGCTTTCTTACGGGCAAACGAAAAGCTTTGTGATATAGGTAATTTTGGCCCAATCGACTTATTTTGATCTCAACAACATACAGTAGCTCAATGTACACAGAATTTTGGGACACACTGTATTAAACATGAAACGCAAGTTTACAGGATTCAAATACATTTTTGTTAATTAGCACAGCACTTATATAATTTTTAATATAGTTTATACACTTACCTTTGTTTTCATTAACTTTAGAATCCTCAATCACACATTTTTAAAAATTCAGAAAAAAATAATAGCCCCTTTAAATACTAAGAAAAATAACATTTTAAATGTTGTAAAAATAATTTCAGTACACAAGATGATCCAAGAATATTGGTTCATCTTGTATATATAAATGAGAAAAAATAAAAAATTGAAAACATTTCATTAAAACCAGTAATATAAAAATACTTAATATTTAATTTAAGGAGCTGTCATTTAACTACCATTTATATTTTCGTCATTTTCATACACACATGAAAATAAAAAAATATGAAATTTAGCAAATGAAAAATGAAGTTAGTTGTTTTAATATTTATTATTTTTCAAAACTAATTCATAGATACAAATTATGCCAATAATCATAAATAGAATAGTATAAAAATCTCTATAAAATATATAAATATAAATAAGGTCACATTATCTACGTGTTTAAAGCACATAAAAGACTAATACAGAAACAAAGGTTAATAATAATTATAATAATCTCATTGAATGCGTATATAAAAAAAATAATACTTTCGAGGTTAAAAGCTAAATAGAAAATTTACTAGTAAAAATATTCAGGTACAATAAGTAAATTGACAATTTTAAAAAATGCCATTCAGATCCATCAAAATGTCAATACAGTCTATTTGTTATCTATTATAAATATGGCAAAACATATAAAAAAAAAATATCTTCCACCAATCTACCTAGAAAATTTTAACAATTCTTTATACTAACCTTTTTTAGGCGCCTTCTTGGAATTGCCAATTTTGTCATTAACATCAATTAGTCTTTTTTCTAGTTCCTGCTTTTTTTCCGCTATTTGTTCATCTTTGGATTTGCCTGCCACTTTTTTGTCTAAAACAAAAATTGTTCATGATAAATTATTTTGGATAAGACAATGATAATGTTAAAATAATGCTGATGCCTCTTAAAGATTCACCTGTAAGCTATGAAATAATAATGACTATATATTTTACAGAAAAGATGGAGTGAAATAAAATTTTCTGAACAGTAAATATGCAGTAATAATTAAAATTCTTTATCTTTACTAATGTGTCTAAAACAACTTTACAACTTTTACACCAAAGAGTAGAGGAGCCAAAAGTAGCACGTCAACTTTAGTCATTACAAGGCTTGTCCAAAAATTAAAGATACGACTGTTAGTATTAATTATAATTATTTTTAAACGGCCACTACAAATTATTTTCTACAGAGAGGTGAGCCGCGAGTGTCTTGTATATTTTGGCAATTAAGTTTTATATGGGAGTATGGCAGTAGGGTCCTCAAATGGTGACACATTAAGCCTCGAAAGCTGTAGTGTCGCTAAGCCTGAGCTGTAAGAGTCTTGGAGACGGATTAAGATAGATGGAGGTCAAAAGGGAGAAAAAAAGCTCAACTTTGATTACTAGCTTCTGTATCCCAGAGTAAGAAAATTGTGAATTCATTGAAGCGCAAGATATTTCTTCAGATAAAGAAATAATTAAGTCACGGATTGGTGTACTTTATAACATCCCCGAGTTATACTCAGAGAAACAAAGACGACGATCAAGATCAAAATCAGTATTTTGCCGTGTTAATTCAAATGGCCGTAGCTACAATTTTCCTTGAAATAAAAATATGAACACTATGCATGACAACAATGATTTTTTTTCCATCTCTATAACTTTCATGGATGTATCTTCTATTAAACCCGAGATTTAACGTTTAGAAACTTGGGCGTAAGTGATTTTTCTTAAAAAACCGATTTTTCTCACGTTCAAGTATTAAACAGATACGGCCATTTGAATTAACACGTCAAAGTTCATACTAAAAAATTACCCCTTTTAGATTAAACATGTTGCATCTTTAATTTTCAGACACATCTTATCCTAATTCATTATATTTCTTAGCAACATTCAAAGAAAATTGTTTCAATCACAAGATGGTTTTGGTATACCAAATTCTAAATCCACAATTATAAAAAATTAAGATAATTTTAATTAAATTGAAAAAATGGCTAAGAAATTTGAATGATTAAAATTTTACTATAATGAAAATGCAATGAGATAAAGCATTAAGAAATGATGTGTTTCTAATACAACAGTTATAGAGGCAACATTTTCTATAAAATGCACAGCTGAAGTTTAAACAAAGCAAAAAGTCAATAAGTCGCAAAAATATTGTTATTGAACGTATATGAACCCCGTCCCGGCAAAATTGGCATACTCCTCAAATTTTTAATGACTGACTTTGCAGGAATAAATCATTCATAAATGAAACAAACTTTTTTTATTTTTAATCAACATTTCGTCTACAACTTTTTATATACGACATGTAGCGCCGTTTTGCTGTTCAAACATTTTTTTAAATAAATTAAAAATTTTAGAAGTGCGCCAATTGTAATATTAATATAATATAATTAATATTTTTTTTTGTTGGACAATATTTTTGTGCCTTTCTATCATATAAAATCTAAAATAGTTTAAAACCAGTCACCAGTGAACTTGAAAAATTAGAAATACACCCAAATGGTAGATCATGCGGCATAAGCAAAATTACATGATACCTTGCCCTTAAAAAATATTTCCAATTAAATACAATCGCCCTAGCACATTTTTTGATGTTTAACATTCCTCTTTAATCACACAAATAGATAAAACTAAGCGATAGCTAAATACAAAATTTGAGTATTATGACAGTTGTCTATGTGAAAGTAATTAACAACAATTTTGGCTGCTTGATTTTCTATCATTAGCAGTTATGTTTTGAATGACTTTTTTATTTTTTGTTATATCCTAATAATAGGTATATGGTTATAAGATTGTAAGGCTAGACCAATTGATGGTACCAAAATTATCTTCTAATGTCAAGAATTCTAAACTCTTCCTTTTATATACGAATATATAAAAAATAAACTTTCAATAATTCAATGTGTAAATGAATCAGTAAACTTAATGAATTTGTGACAGGTTTTACACCCAGTAATCAAAAAACTTATGTTTATAAACAATACTGTGTATTGACACCAAAGCTCGCTAAAGTAGTTTCGGGATATATTGCGACATGGCAAGCGTCCCCTCCAATTCTTGTTCGAACCTCGTGTGCGGAGCTGTCACAATGTTTCCCGAAACTAATCTACAGATAATAGAATGTAAGAGTAATTGAATAGAACAAAAGAAAACATAGAAACTGTAAATAAAGTGTAATGGAAGTACAACATATTTATAAGGCACAGAAACCTAAAAGTAAAATATATATAAAGCAGCAATTAAACCAGTAGAAACATATGGAGCATAGAGATGTTTCAAGCAAATAGGGAGAAAACTTGGGATACCAGAGAGGAAGATTATTGGTAAAAAAATACAAAGATAATTCTGGCTACCCATGAATCACGGCATAAGAAACCCTGTTATAAAAATGTTACATTTATAAAAGCACAAAACTGAGATGGGAACGTGCAAAGAGATGAAATAGAAACCAGCAGATATTATGATCAAAGGGTGTAGACATAAATAAAGAGACAAAAACATAAAGAAAAATCTAAAGATAATCAAAAGGAACATAGTTTTAACAGGGAAGATAACAGAGCTCAAGCTAGCTGAAGTTAGGTATAATATTAAAGTGACATCAGTGGATATCTCCTTACACAATAACATTCTTAATGTCTAAAGAGGTAGTCTTTCTGTGTTTTAAAGTAAAACTCATTTTGATGTATCAAGTATGTTTTCCTATATTAAAACAAAGTTTATTGAGGACCTCTGTAATCTGTTTTATACTTTATTTATTTAATATCTTCTCTTCCTTTAAAATTTAGAATTTTAATATTTTAGAGTAAACTAGTTAATATATGTATTCTTAGTTTTCTTGACGAAAGAGGAATGTTAAATTAAACCCAATCTTGATTTCCAATAGTACTCCAAATATTAATAATTAAAAATAGCTGTAGGTACTACTTGGAATATCAAAATAAAACCAATTACCCACCAGCAAAGTACTACCATGCTTAAAAATGTGTAGTTCCAATTACATACGCCTGTCCCAATTATTCAATAATTATTTTTAAGAAAAAATATTGGGCATACCACTGAAAATGATAAAACTGAAAACATTTGCCACCAATTAAAAACAATGCTTTTCTTCTGAATGTTCAGAATATAATCCTTAAGCTCCTAAAAGTATTATTTTTTAATACATTAAAGAATGGGCCAAACTTCAGATGTGGTTAGTTTGGACAAAAATAAGTTCATTTAAGCCAATTTACCTTAGTGGACTTTTCCTTATCTAAGAAGTTACAGGGTGGAGAAAAGATTTTTTTTGTCAGTATTTTTACGATAATTCAAATATTTTTTGAGTAAATTTACCCAAATTTTGTGAAACTAAGTTTTTTTGGGCGATACAAACGAATAACAGCTTTTTTGTTGCATTACATGTTTTTAACTGGTGTGCCAATCTAGTATTAACTTCAGTTTTTTTTTAAGAATGGACATTTTTGAAAAATTATTAATTATTTTGAAAGAGCGTTCATTTTGCTTTAAAAAAGGTATACTTTTTGCATGTCGCTAAAGCATCATTTGAAGGAAAACTTAATTTAAAGTTAGTACTGCAAATGTATGGATTACTCCATAATTTCTCAATTTGATAGTGTTAAATCTAGTAGGCAGTTGTAAAATGTAGTAGCACTCTCAGGATTAGTCTTACATACAAGCATCAGAGTTTTGAGTGATAAAATTCATTATTTTTATACAATGCCGCGACATAACTTTTTCTCAAACAGTGAAAAGACCAATATATCAGTTTACGCCCAACAAGGTTTTAATGCTCACGCTTCAGCAAGAAGTTACACAGATTTGTATCCTAATCGTAGACAGCCCAACCGAAAATGTTTTCATGTCGATTCAGCAGATTAAGAGAAACCGGAAGTTTTCGCCCAAAAAGAGTTAATTATTCCATAACAATACGAAATCATTTAAATAACGTATTCCTCCATCGATAGATTGGACGAGGAAGTGAACATCCATGGCCTGCACGTAGTCCAGATTTGAACCATCTGAATTTTTATTTCTGGGGTTATTTATATTAGGACTCTAGTTTATTAGTTCTGAATTATTTTTTTATAATTTATGTATTCTTTAGATTTAACATTATCAAATTGAAAAATTTTGGAGTACTCCAATCCTTTAAATGATGCATTTTAGCGGCATGCAACAAGTATACCTTTTTTAAAGCAAATTGAGCGCTTTTTCAAAATAATTATTTTTCAAAAATGTAAATTTTTAAAAAAATCTGAAGTAAATACTAGATTGGCACGCCAGTTCAGAACGCCCTGTACATGTAATGCAACAAAAAAGCTGGTATTCGTTTGTATCACTCAAAAAAAACTTACTTTCACAAAATTTGGGTATATTTACTAAAAAAATATTTTAATTGTCATAAATATATTGAAATAAAAAATAATTTCTCTACCCTGTAACTTCTTAAGCAAGCAAAATTCTACTAAGGTAAATTGGCTTAAATGAACTTATTTTTGTTCAAACTAACCACATCTGAAGTTTGGCCCATTCTTGAACTCATATTGAAAGATATTTTAAAATTATTAGGAGTTAAATAAACTCGTTTACTTGAGTACTTGTTTTAATGTGGACTTGAATATTTTTTAGTTTGTACTATTATTTCAATCACAAATTATTGCTAGGCACGACATGAAAACGGATCTATTGAGATAAACACAACACACATATTTTCGCGACAAAATCACAATAAAGAAAATATTTGCGCCATAAATATTTTTGTCGAATTGAACACACAACATTCAACCAACAAATTTATTGATCTGGACCCAGCTTAATAATATTATAGAGAGACATATTTATCATTTGTGTCTTAAGATATATACAAAAATAATTGAAACAAGGTTAAGGGAAATTATAGAATGGTAATATGCATATATTACAGAACAGAAAGAAAAAAGAACAAAATGTGAACAAAAAAAAATAAATATATATATAAAGAAAACACAATGAACAACAACTAAATTTAAAAATGAAGATAGGTAATTGTAAATATACTAAATGAGTTCCAAATGGATAAAGGGGGCAGACAGTGGCGTTTCCTCAATAAGCATGTTCTCCCAAATTGCAAGTGTGCACTCTCCTAAAGTAATAAAAAACGAGCCGCGGCTGGGGACAGATAAAGCCCAAATTATTGGATAGGATTCAAGAAAATACAAGATCAAACAACTAAAAGATTACAGACAATACATTAATAGCATAAGATACAATAACCTCATACTAGTGGATATAGACAGCTTAATATGTCAACAAGAAGGTAGTAATAAAGGGATAACAAATGTGAATTCAAATTAATGAAATAATGTCAACATATGAAAATAGTAGGTACAGAACAATTGGACAAAGACGAAGTCATTAGAGAACTCCAATCAAAAGGAAAATTTGATTACAAAAATAGAAACAACAGATTACCTCTTTCAAACACTAGACAGAATAAAAAAAGAAAAGCCGAATCATTGAATTAGGAGGATAGAGGAAAAAAATAAAAAGAATGTGCTGCTGAAGAAATGGATATAGTCACTAAATCTGAAAAAAAGAAAAGGATAAAGATCTAACAGAAATGAACTTACTAGCAAAACAATGAAGGAAAACGGAAAAAGATATATATTATGAAATAAATTTGAAAGAAGTATGTAGGAAAATTTTTATTTGTTCTGAAGTGGAGCATTCCAATTTCCAATGTTTTCATTATTAAATGGGATTTTCCACACAATACCTTATGACTTAAAGCATTTCGTTTTTAAACAATAACAAGTTCTTTTTTTAAGAAAGAAAAAATAGTGAATAAAAATGTGAAAAATTGATATTACTATTTTTAAACACATACTTTTGAATACCCATTTAAATTATGAGTTTCAAAGGAGATGAAGTTCATTTACATTGGTTATAACTGATAACAAATGGCAATTTCAATTTCATCTGTGGGTGGTCTGGTGCACTAAATAGGCGACCTTTGTTGTAGACGTGAAGTAACGGAACTTACAGTAAGGCTTACGTGGCTTTTTACGGAGGCACGATGCGACATAACTTTCCAATTCTCTCAAAGTGGAAGGTTTCAATGTTTCAAAATCTATTTCAATTTCATCTGGGTTAGAATCCCTCAAGGATGGCTCTCTTGATTGGATTATATGTACAACTCTCCCCAGTTTGTCGCCTACAACAATAAAAAATAATATTATTAATTTCAAATTTTAATTCAGTTTAAATATGTCAAGTAGCAAAATTGTTTAAGTTCTTGAGTTTTAAGACAAATATTAACGTAATTGTTTTTTTTTTTCTTTTTTGGTTCGAATTGTATAAGTGTCTATTGGCGATTCATATTAGTTTTCCCGCGCTATTTAAGTAGACGTAAATATTAAAATCATGCTAATAAGGAAAAATTTAATTCATACTTTATATTACTAAATTTTTCATTTATTCAACAGAAAACGTAACACTCTTTGTTTAACAAAATAACATTTAAAATAAAAAGTTTTTCTAGTAGTAGTTTTAACCCATGATACTATTACTCAAGAAGATAAACTCACGCGCATGCGATCAGTCCATCTCTCTCGCACGCCTGACGTCACTGGGAGACATTACCCGACTCAGCAACAGCCAGTTCTATACGGCGCAAAGCGGTTTTGCGTGTATTACTGATTATTTACTTGTTTTTTTGGTTTATTGTGTTTTAGAAGTAAACGTGCGTAAAGCTCTATATGTTATATTTAAAAACATTGTTTTAAACATTTACTATGATATTCTGTGCAGTGGTGGGTTGTTCAAACAACAACAAAAAAGCAAGAACTTTTATTTATTTATTACTTGTTTATCCAAACATTTTCAATTTTTACCCCTCCTTTTTAACATTCATCCGTAATTTTTATAAAAATATAAAATTGATTGTATAATGAAAATGTCTATAATTTAAAAGCTCTCAAATAAAATTAACTCGATTTTTTTTTCAAATATTTTTACCCCTCCCCTTTCTACCTCTACCTGTATTTTTTTTTATTAAATCACTTAACGAATTTTAAAATTAAAATATTTTAAATTTTTACCCCTCCCCTTTTTACCCTTTCTAAGTATATATTAAAATATTAAACGGATTATAAAATCAAAATGTCCGTAGCCAAAAACCTATAAAACGACATATCACTCGATTTTTCACGAAAAATTGCAATTTTTTACCATTTTCCCCGACATTTCATCCCCTTCCCATTTACCAATTTTACTCAAAAATATTCTAATCCGACCCCTAATGGAATAACACCTATCTATAGCGCAATTCCTTTAAAAGTTATGGTGAATACCGATAGACAGAAATTTTCATTTTTGCTCATAATACTTTTTTACACGTTTTGGGACATTTTAATATGATTAGGCAAGCCAAAAAATATTTAATTTAATAATATATCAATATTATAAAAATAATATATCAATATTATAATAAATAAACATAAAATATTGATTAAAACCGCTCTAGCGTAATGCTTTTCTATGCCCTCGAGCTGGATTGTTGTCAACGGGTGACGTCATGCGCAAACGTTGTCGAAATTGGATCGTCAAATGGGCTTATCTTCTTGAGTAATAGTATCATGGTTTTAACCTACAGGATAAACATATAAGTACAAATTAGGATTAGACTAAATCACAATTATTAATAGAAAACAACAGTAACACTCTTTACCTAACAAAACAACGTTGAAAATAAATAATAACCAAACCTAACTACAATAAATAACAACAGAGATTAATTTCACATTAAAGTAAAATGTACACACTCTAAAGTAACGCATTATTGTAACGAAGTAACGATTTTGAGTTACTTTGTAAAAGTAACGGACTGTTACTTTTCGTCGATTTTAAAAAAGTTTATTCCATCCTGGGGCCCTATCCTCGGCTATCGTTTTCTAAAAAACGTATTCGCTTTAGCAACATGTGTGTACGTTTTTAAAACGGGTGTATTACAGAGAGCAGGGCGGCTATCCTCGACAATCGCTAAAAAAAACGAACCGTTTTCGAACGTGAGTGGTTGAAAAGCGAGTATTTTTTGAAATCTATATTCTTGACTGGCGTTCGATAAGCATTCGTTTTTTAAAACGTGTACGTTTTTAACAAGCAAATAATATGTCTGGCATCACTGTAAACTGTCTATATCGCTGAATTCAAGTAATGTGCAGGCCATAAAAAAATAAGGATTATGTAATTTAATTACAACAAACCAATTGTAAATTTATCGAATGATGATTTTTTCTAATCACATAATATATCAATGTTCAGGATAAACTAAATCGTTAATGATTGGCGGAAAAACAGCTATACGGGTGCTGTCAATGTAACCTATAATTCTAGGAAAATCGTACGTCATAAAACCTAGTTTTTATGGTACAAAATTAACTTAAAAACTTTGCTAATCTCATTCGGTTCTTTAATATATTGTGGCAATTTTACAAAATTGTTAAAATTTCTGGACACAACGTGTGATATAAAAGAACTTTGAACTACCACTTGCAAGAAACCGCAAGCAAATTAATATCTATAAATAAAACATACATGAATTAATAATTAAATTCTTACACGGTAAAATATAAAAAATATTCATTCAATATGCATTCAATTAAAAAAATGGATTCTGCTTCTGCATGTCTGAATCTTTATGTTATGTTGAGAATGGGGTGTTAATACACTGCGACCTAAAAGATCTATTGTGCCCCCTTCTGTCGCAAATGCACTAAGGAAATGTCTCAATGCCTATAACGACCCTTCCAATCCTATTTTCTCAAGGAAGTGTAGGATTTGAAGTGGCTTCAAGTTAGGTAAATCTCTGCTTTTAGCATTCTTATCTTCCAAGTTTTCTAATTGTACTAATTATTGTATTAATTGAAAGAAATTCTCAGCTATTAGACTTTTTTAGTACTGCAAACCATATTTATAAGAAATTAGATACTTTTGTAGGTATTAATAAAAAGTAAAATTTGTTAAAATCAATCAATATTATTAATCATCCAAAAAGTGACATATAAGTGACATTGACTAAATCCTTGAAAACATGCACGTTTTATCACAAACGTGTGAAAAATTCCGCTAGCTGTAAGACACCCGTTTTAAAAACGTACACGCTTTTAAAACGAATGTCGAGAATAGCGAATAGCTCGTATGTTGCTAAAGCATATACGTTTTTTAGAAAACGATTGCCGAGGATAGGGCCCCAGAAGTTTTCACACGTTTTAGATAAACCGTGCATGTTTTTAAGTATTTAGCCAATGTCACTTATATCACTTTTAGGATGATTAATAATATCGATTTAAACAAATTCTAGGTAAACTACTTTTTATTAATACTTACAAAAGTACATAATTTCTTATAAATATGGTTTGCATTATTAAAAAGTCTAATAGCTGAAGATTTCTTTCAATTATTATTAATTTTACAATTAGAAAATTTAGAAGATAAGAATCCTCAAAGATTCAGACATTTTTTGAATTAAATGGATAATGAATGAATATTTTTTATATCTTACCGTGTAAGAATTTAATTATTAATTCATGTATGTTTTATTTACAGATTAATTTGCTTGCGGTTTCTTGCAAGTGGTAGTTCAAAGCTCTTCTGTATCACATGTTGTGTCCAGAAATTTCAATAATTTTGTAAAATTACCACAAAATATTAAAGAACTGAATGAGATAAGCAAAGTTATTTAAATTAATTTTGTACTGTAAAAACTAGGTTTTTTTATGACGTACGACTTTCCTGGAATTATAGGTTGCATTGACTGCACCCGTATAGCTATTTTTCCGCCAAAAATTAACGATTCAGTTTATCCTGATAATTTATAATCTGTGATTAGAAAAAAATCATCATTTGATAAATTTATAATTGGTTTGTTGTAATTCAATTACATAATCCTCATTTTTTTAGGCCCGCACATTACTTGAATTCAAGGATATAGACAGTTTATGTTTACATGCCAGACACATATTATTTGCTTGTTAAAAACGTACACGTTTTAAAAAACGAATGCTCATCGAACACCAGTCAATAATAAAGATTTCAAAAACTACTCGCTTTTCAACCAATCACTTTCGAAAACGGTTGGTTTTTTTTTTAGAGATTGTCGAGGATAGCCGCCCAGTTCAAGGTTATTCCAACTGTAAATTTTGTTGTCAAGAATTTAACATGACTGTTAAAAAAAAATATATTTTTAATGGTAACTATATATAAATTAATAAAAAAAATCAAATCCAGACCTGTGTATCAGAAGACATTACTTTCCTAAATGGACCAGTTGTGTGGCCACCGAGGTAACCAGGCATAAATCATGATTTTTTTTGTATATACAAATAGTGTTTACGTCAAAAGGGTTGTACTAACAGGTAAATGTTTGACCAGAGAGTACATCTTGAAAAGCCAATAAAGTTCAAATTCCTAAACCTGCATAAGTTCATTATTTTTCTTAAATGAATGCATGTAAAACGATGGAAAAGCAATTTAAAATGAGAAATAAGATGATAAATTGTTTCAATACAAAAATACTCTTTAAATATAAATCAAAATAGATTTGGATATTATTATCTCAGCAATACTTAGAATCTGACCAGTAATGTAAAGTGTAATTTTTAATATAAAAAATACAAATTAGTAGGTACATTTGAAATCACTGAATGTCCAATATTATTCTTTTCCTCTAAGAACACTAACTTACTGTTGTTTAAAAAATTAATAATATTAATTTGAAATGGAAAGTAAGTATCTAAACAATTTAATTAAATTTGTAATCCAACTTAATCAGTACTTACCAGGTAATTTGTTAATATCTAATGACAGTTGGCGTTTTTCATCATAAGACATCGGTTTAGCATTGTCCTCGTCTTCAGAATCAAACTGCATTGGAGGCGGCTGAACCGCGTTCTTCTTCCTACCAGCACCGGCTTTATTGTTTGCCTTTACCCTCTTGTTAGGCGCCGCATTTGTTGCAGCAGTCGGTTTGTTTCCGCGTAATCCTAGAATAAAATGAAACGACTTAGCCATGTACAAACTTTTGAAAAAGTTAGTAAAATACCATATTTGCAGAGCGAAGTCTATCAATCATAAATGAATTGCCACATAAAAAATTCATAGGATTGAAACATCTCTAAATCTATACCTCACTAATTTATTGAAAGAAAGTGTACAACTAGACCTTTTTCGGTCAAAGTAGGCATTTCCACCGAACAAAAATTAGGCATTCCAAACAAAATGGTTGCCCGTAGGTGACAGGCCACTGATGGTTTGACAGGGTCAATGGTATAGTTATATAGATTGATCATCCACGTTTTTAAAAATAAACATAAGCTTATGTCTTGAGGTAAAAATGTAGATAATTATTTTTTTTTAGCTTAATGTTCAAGGTATCGAAATTTATTTTTTTTAACTCCTTATCATACAGGGTGTTAAAAATGTAAGCATTAAAATGTACAACCTAGTCTCTGGTAAACTAAACAAGCTAATGTTTTAAGGGCAGTATTTTAAGAGGTTTTTACTGTTAATCGTAATAAATTTTCATTAAATTATAATACGTAGTTTGAAAGTTATTCAAGATAATTGATTTCCAGTGGCGTCCTTTTGGAGGCCGCATATCTGTAGAGAGGGCCGCATATCTGTAGAGAGGGCCGCATTTCTGTAGGGAGGGCCGCATTTCTGTAAGGAAGGTCGCATTTCTGTAGAAAGGGCCGCTAGGAAAAAAATTTATGGGAACTTGTCATCTTATTTTTTAATGTTCTATCTGAATCCGAGAGACCTCCCACATTTTCCCGGACACCCTGTATATTTGTTTAAAATTCATATATTAGGTACATATTCAAGATTCAAATTAATTTTCGTGTGCTTGTCATTTGTCACCTATAAGTAGGCTGTTTGTTAATTTACATTGTGTTTGTTTTGGGCGGGATTTTGTATGTGTTTTTTTAAATGTTCTTAGATAATATTCTCATTATAATAGTGTTTTTAAGTTTCATTTAGTGTTAATTTAAGTTTAGTTTCCTTGCTTTTTCGTAAATTTCATTTTTAACATAAATAAACAAATATAAAGCTCACAAACGACTGGATTCGGGAACAACATATCAACTATTGGGGAAGCACCCCAAAACAGGCACATGGAAAAGCCTCCATAGGCAGACCATGTCCCAAAAGAACTGGAGAACTACTCTTAATGAATATGAACCAGTTGAAAGTGATAACAGGGTTCATGACTGGGCACGCCCCAGTAAAGGGACACTTGAACAAAATTGGCATGTACAATGGGGAACTCATGTGCCGACTATGTCACAAGAAACCAGAAACGGCCAAACACATACTGTGCGAATGCGAAGCTCTAGATCGCAAAAGACAGGCTCTTTTTGGACAACTCCAGCTTGATCCAACAACGTATAGAACCCACTCACCCAAGGATCTGTACAAACTTGTACAAGGTACAAAGGTGACAGAGTGGGTGCTATGAACTAATATGGGGTAAAACACAATAAGCCAGTAGGCTTTCAGTGTTATTCGGAGACACATAGTCAGACGAGCCCAGGAGAAAAAAAAGCTCACAAGTAAGAAAAAGTTCGAATTATAATTATTGATACAAATTAAAATATTAACAGTGAACACGAACGCCAATGTTGCCAAATGATGAACTGATTTTAAAACAAAATTGATAAATGAACTAAAATTTAAAAAAATTTATATAATAAAATCTGTTTTATAAAAAATCCTTAAATAAATATGGAGTATGATTACCTATTTCTAGATCTGACGACGTAGCGAAATTCCGCTATTCCTGGCAACACTGAACAAAGTTCTACTTATAGACACCTTTTGCAAATTTTCTCCAGAAGGCATATCACTTAGCTTGAATCGCGAATTAAGTTATATTTGGAAAACTAGTCATAGGATCCAATAATTTTACCAATAAGAATTTCGAACAAGTACATCGAGAACTATACAATATAAAATATTGAGAGACTTTGACGGTATTTTTTTTTTTCTCCGACATTTCGGCTATTTTTGTTCGGTGGAAATAGCTTCTTTGACCGAGAAAGAACTGTAGCATCATGAATAACCCTGTAAGTAACCATATTTTGATTATAGTAGTTATAATCCTAGAGCCAACGTGCTGGTTTGCGACTTATTTCTTATGAATGAATTTACTAATGAATTGTACTGTGATACCTGTCCAACAAATTCACGAAAGCGCGCCGTTCAGACTGGGGCGCTTAGGCATTACAAGTGGTAACTTGACTTATTTTCTTAACATTTTCGTAATGCTCAATGGACAATAAGTGCCCACCAACAAGAAAATATTCCCTCCATCAATTTCGGTGGGCCATTTTTTTTCTCCAACGTTTTAAAGTAGTGCGTGAGAGGGAAAGCACATAACTTATTTTCTTATGGCTGGTTTTTGGTTTATTTAAATTTTTCTTATGTTGTTCACAAAATTTACTTCCTCTACCATTTTTGCTGGACCATTTTTTCTCTCCAACGATTTAAAGTGGTGTGAGAGTAGGCGTACGAGAGACTTATTTTCTTATAGCCGAATTTATTATTGAAGTGTAGTAAGAAATGTGTGCAACAATTTCATGAAAGCACGGGGTTCAAACTGGGGCAATTAGGTAATTATGACATTACAAGTGGTACGACTGGCTTATTTTCTTAACATTTTCATTAAGCTTGTTCAACAATAAGCACTCGCCAACAAAAAATATTAAACCCATTTTTGCTGGGCCATTTTTTTCTCTCCAACGTTTTAATGAGATGCGTAAAAAAGTCAGATGCATGGCTTATTTTCAAAACTGGATGCTTGTACCAAAGTAAGTTAAACATGATATATTATGTTCACTGAATTAGTGTCCAATAAAAATATTGGTCTGTTTTTAGTGTCCCACGAAAATAAAGAAGTAAAAAAAATAAACAATGGTTTTATACACACGCAATAACTTAACAAAGTATTTTTGACCAGGTGTTGGGGTGGCCGAGAACGAATTCGCTCACAGAATTTAAAAATCTTTACTAGCCATTTTTAAGGTCTCAATTGTATTGTTTAATATCATAAAAACAATGTTAATAAAATATTTTTATTAAAAAATTTAAAAAATTATACCAATATTTTAATATGTACAATGTGGCAAAATTTTGCATTTATTAACGAGCACATTGAATATTACATAACGAAAATGATATAAATATTAAAATTCGTTTTCAGCAATCTCAAAAAACCCTAATTGATTATTTACATCCATTTTGGCAAAAACTTTGTCAAGTTATTGCGTTTTTATGTTTAAACTATTTTTTAAAGTCATTATTTTCGTTGGAAAAGGTATCATTTGGGAGTATTATTTTCATCTGACCTTAAATTTAACAGTCAAATTGATCATATAACTTTAAAATACTTTAGACTCTTAGGTTTTCTATGCTATAATTAGAAGCATTATGGAATACGCAGCACCATATGGGATCCTAGTTGTGCAGTCCATAAAAACAGATTAGAAAAGGTACAGAATAAGTTTACCAAATATCTGCTATACAAATTAAGATTCCCGCTGGTCAATGTTCCCTCTGAAACTCAATTACTATTGTGTGGGATGAAAAGCTTAGACCACCGCCGAAATACCGCTATGCTGCTATTTTTATATAAAATTCTTCACTCTATAACTGACACTCAAGTACTATTAGAAAATGTGATGCTTCATTTGCCAGTTCGCTTAACTATAAACCAACAGTTATTTCACGAACAAACAACTAATTATGGCACGAATGCAGTTGTCACGCCAAAAAAGCACGCGCGTACACGCATATAAATATCAATAAATGTCAAATTAAATGTTCAAGCCGCCATAAAAAAAAAACTTTTTAATACGAGTGATCTAAAAAAAATATGGTCAATAATCTATGTTAGCCTTAATGTGTAAACCTCCCATGTCGATGGTAAAACATGTGGTAAAACGACAACAAGTAGTCCAAAATGGGTGGGTTTATCTTCAGACAATTTCTAAATGTATTATTGATAGACTTCTCAATGTTTTAGTGGTAAGTTGCATCAAAATCCAATTCCGTGCACCTATCTACTGTATTTCTACCATTAAAAAATATTATTAACAGGATAAAAACAATGTGTTCAGTTTCTGATTTTCAAGTCAGGTTATTTAACATCTGTATTCACAAAAATAGAGTTGGGCGATGGCGTAATTTTTTAATCAGACTTTTAGTCGTTACTGTGATTAGTACAATTCAAATAAATGAAGTTGTTTTCTCGAATTAATAACAAAATAAATATTTGTTCATATTTTTCTGGAAAACATCAATAGAAAAACATACTTTTTGGTGTGGTATGAAATATATTGCCCCTGGCACGTATAATTTGAATTCATTTCCAATAACTTTTTTTTATTAATTGCAATTCTTCAATAGCTATGAGGACCTTCCGTTTCGCTTTTGCATTTCAAATGTTTTAAATTATCAATAAGATTCTTGACTTGTAAAGAATAAAACTATACTGTGCATTTTCTATTGTGATACTAAACTGAACTCATTGTTTATTTGGAACAAAATACTATTTAATTATAAAAGAAAAAAAACTTATTATTTTACCTATGACCACTATGGAAAGCAGACAAAAAACATTACTTACAGAAGCAGTAAATAGCTCATTAGGTATAGTAAACAAATCCTACGATAATCAAAAAACACTGTAAACAAAATATATTTTTACCTGTGTAAGTGGTCGTAGGTAAATTATAGTACTTAATGTGTGTTGTAAAGCAATTACATATTCATGGAATTACACACTAGCCGCTCCACGGTTTCTTGTGTAACATTTCCATTCATGCATAATGTTTTTTACAACACTGTAAACATAAATTAGAAGCTTTTAAGTCAAACAATAGGTCGATCTGTCTACATCATTTCCAATTTTCCATAGCCAAGTATTTTCTTGTAAGTGAAATATTTATACGAAAAAAAAAAATTAAATTACAAATGTGAACTAAACTAAAGTGCAAGAAGTGCTAAGTGCAATATAAAATAATCTAATAGTTAATAAAGCTACTGTGAATACAAAAGCATAGGCCTTCTTTAAACGGTCATAAAACTAATGTTTAAAAATTAATTTAGTCAATCCACATTTTACTCAAACAAAAATTTAAATAGTATCATGTCTTATAAATTGTACATCAGAATTGTATTCTTATTTATGGATTTTATGACCATTAAAAGAATTAAGCTCAAATTTGATTGCTGACAATAAAGTACTTAAGAAAGCTTGCAAATTCAACTGCTAACCATTACCAAGTAATGTGTAGTAGGCCTCGAGTCAAAAGATCTTGTGCAGAAAAAAGCACAGCTTAAAATGATTTAAGTAGAGATAAGATCCATACAACTTATATCCTAGTTTGAGAGATATTTTATTCATATAAATATACTGAACTGACAATTTTGAAAAATATTTATGGCCAAAGACTTTAGTTCTAACAATTTAAATTAAAAAAACGATTTCACTTTTTCTACACCATATAAAAGTATCTTCCAATGCATAATTTTATAATTCCCATTTGAACAAACCTTTTCCGTTTTACCTGTTTTTGAAAAACGTCTTGGAAATTGTGATCTTTTGAGGCGAAGCTTATAATTTAATATTAGATTAACCCTCTAAAAATTCATTGCAAACTGTAGGATATATCTTGGAAATTACTAGAAGTTCGTCGTGATAGCGTCTTAGACTCAGTTACTGTATTTTAAAACAAATTTGTATTTACTAATAATGAACGTTAACTCAACACACTTATTATACCGGTCGCAACTTTTTTAATAATTATTGTACAAAATATTTTTATTATTAAAAATTTATTGTAATACATTTCTTCAGCATATTTTATCTTAGAATGAAGCAGAGATGGTCGATACCTCATTTCAAAATTCACCAGGATATCGATGTCGGTGATTTCAAAATCACTGATTCTTAGAAAACATCGATTCAGAAATCAACCATCTTATAGTAGGTGATTCCCTGATATTAGTAATATTTCACGTTACTGACTTAGTTATTGAACAGTCACCTGCGATATTAAAACCCGAGAACAAAAAACTGCATCACAAAATAGATAAATAAAATTTTACCGCTTCGTCGATGTCTGTCACTATATGATTACGACAGTATGATGAATAGATCACGATCCAGGCGAATATCTTAACTGGTTATTATCATTGGTGAATAGTGACCACAAAGAGCTCTTTAATAAATAAAAATGATCAGTAAACGCGTTTCACTAATCAGGATTAAAATCACCAATATCTGTCAATAATAAAACGGTCACCGGTGCGAGGGCGATTTTAAACTCACCGGTGAAAAGTAACAGGTAATATATCAACCACCTCTAGAATCAAGTTGTCTATTGATGAAAATTTTGTCCAATACGTAATTACAATATTTTAAATAAAATTTATAATATGGTAACATCATAATGCATAATGTGATATTTTACCAAATATCTGCAGCAGAAAGGAGAGAAGATGCATTACATCGCAAAAAACTTGTTCTATTATAAAAAAAGTGAATAAATGGAAAATCCACAAATTAAATGTCCGATCCATCACTGATTGAAAAATTTGTTGCTGAAGACAATATCGACAAATCCAAGTTAAATATAATAAAAATGTTTCAAACGATTTGAAAAATAACATTCAATTTTAAAATTTAATTAAAATGTAAAAAATAGTCTAGCTACATATATGATTTGAATAACGGATGGGCTGTAACCAGTGGCGACTGGTGACCAAAATATTGTGGGTTCACAATGACAGAATGTCTCAGTAATGTAAAAAAAAATTCAGTGTTTATTATAAGATAAAGGGGTCTCAGAAATATTTTCAGTTATCAATACGTCCGCTGGCGCAATAGGCACATTCCTGAGAAAGGAGGAAGTTGGAAAATGGTGATATAGTGTTGTTTTAGTTGCAATGGAGCGATTTACGGGACAACAATGTGCTTTTTGAATTCGTGCGTCGTTTGTACAGAAATCATTATAACATGGCAAGAATGAAAGATGTCCCAATTGCAAATTTAATTAAATATTGGTTAAGAAAGTTTGAGAGTACTAGAAATTAAATTTGCTGTTATAATGATGTCTGTACAAAGGATGTACAAGAATATAAGAATCATTGTTTTTATAAAACACACGAATACAAACAGCATGTTGAAGCTCCATAAATTGCTCCATTGCAACTAAAAACTTAACACTGTCGACCACCGTTTGCCAACTGCCTTCTTTCTCGGGAATGTGTCTATTGCGCCAGCGAACGATTAATAACGAAAATATTTCTGAGACACCCTATATAATTAACCTTTCTAAAACAGTGAAAGTATTTTATCTATAACTGAAACCTATATTCTGTCATTGTGAACCACCAATATTATGGCCACAAGCCGCCACCAGTTGTAACGGATATTTTGCAATAAATTTCAGGTGAACATCTATAATTATTAAATTACAAGTGGTGGCTAGAAGACACATGCGTAGAAGAGCGGTAGATACGAAATAAAAAAAAAAGATCTCACCTTTGCTCTTAGGTGTTTTAGCCTGGGCGGAAGCGTTGGCGCCAGCTGCCGCCATGTTGTGATGCATGTTGAGGGACTTGTTGGTGGGATGTTGCGCCCCCGTACCCTGCGCGCCACCCGCTGGATGATGCGACTCCACAGAGGCATTGGATCCCACACCCGACATCTTCAGATCCGCCCCTGACACAACACTGGCGATGCTGTCGTCAACGCTGTCCGCGATCGAATTGTTGTTTGACTTTAGGGCTCCGTGCCCAGAGGGCTTACCGAGGCCACTGCTGCTGTTAGGTAACGTGCTCGCCGACGCGGCGGTGGACACGCCACCCGGTTTCTTTTTCACCTTGTTTTTCTTTTTCTCCTTTTTCCGCTTTGAGCTCTCTTCTACCAACTTTTTCATTTTCTCTTGCATCATCGTTAACTGTAACAACAAAATGAGAATATTTTCAATTTATATATTTTTTGTAGTGGTGCTTAAATCATGAAGAAGAAACTACGTAAGTTTGACGTAACACGTGGGTAGAAATTAATGATTTTTTAAAAACAAATTCAAAATACATTGTAATGTTATAAGCCATTTTTAATGCTGTGTCTATTTTTAAATTGTGTGGGTTAAATATTTGTATACATAGTATTGGTGATAGTTTTTCATGAATAATATCAAAGAGTAATAGATATGTAACAAAGACAGTGTCATAGGGTCCCGTAGCGTCGATCCAATTCTTATCAGAGTTGCAGCTCCGCAACGATACCCTTGTATCGACATCATACCCAATTTACCGAATCTGCAAATACTAATTTTTGCAATCACACCTATAGCCACTCTTACGTTGACACAAGTACTTGTGGTTTTACGGCTGGCATGCGTACGCTACCGTCAGTAAAGTTACTTTAATTTTTAATATTAAATTGTCATTAAATAATCAGTCAGGAAGTAATTCTAAATGCCTCCTAAAGTTAGGAGAATAGTTCACTCTTTTTCACGAGAATAACTTCGAAAATTCATATTTCCGTAATTCATTTATACCCGAATGAAATACCTATATTCGCAGATATTTTTCAGACATTATAAAAATTCAAATCATTTCGATTGTCCAAACTATGTCTTATTTCATTTGGAGTGAAATAGTTTTAGGTTACCTACTGCCAAGATGAATGAACACAAATATTTTATTTTTAGATGTGATCTGGTTAGCTGTAACCTCTGTAGTGTCTCTTAATTTTTCTAAAAAAACTTCATTTTATAATTGAATTTTTATATATATCCCAAAAAGACAAAGTTTAAATTTTAAATATACATCCGTTGCAAATTTCAAACGATTCTAAAGAGTTTCAGACTGTTACGTAATTGTTTTACCTGTGAGCTGAGCCAGGATTCAATCACGTAAACAGGTGTTTTCCCGCAAAAATAGTCAGTAAATCTTTAACTCTTTCTGGAAAATGCTCTCGCGAAATCAATTGTAGTACAAATTCAATTTCTGTGCCGGTCAGTGACTCATTACCAAAAGGATTACTTCAAGTTTTTAACTGTGTTGATCTACACACGGACTTACCACGAAAAGAGAGGTTTCTAGCGTGGCGATCCTCCCTCTTGGAGCTCATCCCTGGGATAATTACAGTGGGCGAGGCCGTTCTAATTACATGGAAGACGAGAGGTACAAAATCGCCCATTTAAAAAGTATGTTTATTTTTCCCTCAATTTCCATTCCGCTTTCAGGCCTTTGGGCGCGGAACTAACGGATTTTCTTCTATCCACAGGTCGAATTCACCAACCATACTGTCTAAGTGTCATTAATAGGCGTGTTTAGTGAAAACGTCACAGGTTGAGAAAGGTCACAGAAGTGAATGCCAACAAAGGAACCATAATGTCAACTGTCATTAATGTCCGTAAGAATGACACAGGGGTCATTGAAATTATTAAAGCATAATTTTGAAAATGAAAGCAATTTAATTATTTAACATATTAGAGCATATGGACGGTATGGTAATGCTTTTTTAGTAAAATATTTGTCTTCGATTTGAAGAATTTTAACCCAGCCTGCTCAAACCCTGGTTTTTGAAGTGGATATAATTTAATTGACACATTCAAAGCATATAAACGGTAAGCTGATGATCTTTACTTGTAATTCTATCGATTTCATAATCTTTTTTTCAGGAAAAATTCTATTTCAGCGATTTGAGAAACTTAACCTTATTTCTGATTTTGAAAGTGAAAGTAATTTAATATTCACAAGATGAATCAATGCCTAAGTCCGTCCAGAAAAGAAGCAGGCGAGACATTTATCGAGGGCCACAAGGCAGGACCTCGTAAGCCGCGAAATCGACAATTTTCAGATGAAAAAAATGTTTTACATATAGACCAATCCATTTTACTCTATAATAGAACTAATATTTACCCATGTTTTGTTCAAAAATTGTAATATTTTCCCTATACAGTAGATGGAGCAAAATGTTTTAAACGAGATTATCATAAAATATAATTTTCAGTGAAAATGTTAGTTACAAGGTCCTGCATTGTGGCCCTCAATACAAGTTCTCAGAATTATGTTACTAGGAAGTAGAATGTGAACTTTAATGTTGGGCCTATGGAATCAATAGCATATTTTGAACCACTTGAAAAAAAATATTTTTTTTAGATTGTTATGATCAAAGAAAACTATTAAAAATGAAAGTGGAGAGGTCAGAAGAAATGACAAGAACTATGCATCTGAATATACACATATTTGTGAAAGTTATATATTAAATATTCGAAAGTTTACTGTTCTGCAAGTTGAATAAAATAATAAAAAAAATTTAAAGTAGTTTTATTACATAATATAAATTATCAAATATTTGTGTAGTAATAAATAATAATTTAGTAGTTATCTATTAAATTTAACTATTTGACAGTCTTTTTCAGTAATAAAAAAAGTATCGAAAACAGCCGATATGAGTTTATTAATATAAAATGTATGTAGAATATTTAAATTAGGATCCCATTTAGCATCTACGGATTATGGCCAAACAAAAAACAGTATAAATCGCGAACCATGATGTACCTTGGATCAAAAGCATTTTTAGCTTCTTCAGGGCCTTCTCAGTTGCGCAAATATTGTAATGGGCATAATACAATAAGGTAGCCATGTTGTGGCAAATCACTTGGCATCTGGGACATGTGCTACTGGTTTAAAATCCATTTCATAAATTACCCTTTAAATAAGTTGGGTTAAGATTTCTCAAATCGCGGAAAAATGATTCTTTTCCTGAAAAAACGATTATGAAATTGAAAGAATTACATGTGAAGGTTATCGACTTACCGTTTGTATGCTTTTGTATCAATTAATTAAATTATATACACTTCAAAAACCAGGGTTTGAGTAAGCTGGGTCAAAATTCTTCAAATCGAAGACCAATAAATATTTCCCTAAAAAAAATTATGAAATTGATAAGAGAAACATATAAACGTTATTACCTTACCATCCATATGCTCTAATGTTAAATAATGAAATGCTTTCATTTTCAAAATTATACTTTAATAATTTCAATGACCACTGTGTTATTCTTATAGACATTAATGACAGTTGACATTATGGTTCCTTTGTTGGCATCCAGTGCTATGACCTTCCTCAACCTGTGACGCGCACTGAACTCGCGTATATTGCTGGTTGGTAAAAGACCTCCGGCTTTGTTTATTGTTTACATTTTGGACTTTTTTATTGATTTTTTTGGGGAAGAGGACCTTGACCTAGTTAGTTTGTTTTATTTTACCATTCGATAAGCCTTGTTTATAGTAACGGGGCTCTTTTCTTTTTATTTAATTATTTTTCTCATAATTTATTGGTACCATCCTATTCTAGTGATTGCAGGTTACTTGCTACATTTTAGCTAACTTAATTTTATTTTAATTAATTTTACCACTTTGCAAAATTAATCACTACAATTTGTGTAGTAAAGGAAATTCCAACGTCAACAATTTCACTACAGCTGACCTCAGAAGGGCAATCCCTTCAGGGCACGGTACACGGGGAGAGTTCTATGGCTTTGCCCCAGAGCAATACGCCACTTTGTGGGGACAGCCGAACTCGGCTATAAATTTAAATAACCAAAATAATTACTCGTACAATAATACCAATAATGCTACCCGACGGTTTGCCAAATCCCTGCCGTCTGGGGCAGAACCTACCCTGAGAGTACCCAATTCGTTTGAATTGGGACTCCAAATCATTCTCTGCCCCCATCAAGAGTCATACTACACATGGCAAATGTAGATCAAGGTGAAATTTCCCTGGTGAAGTGGTACATAGTGTGGGTCATTTCGAGGAGTTTGTTATGATCTCTGAATTGTCCACCAGTATAACGGTATCCCCTCACGACCCTTCTTAGCGGAAGAGCGGGGTCAGTCAAAGATCTTCGCCTAAACGAGACCAGACGACAACAGCTATGATTATTTACAAAAATTCTGAAGCTAAAATAAGTTCACATTCTAAGTGTCCTTGCACAAATGCAATAATCTTATAGAGAATTGATGTCAAGTGACGTTAGTAGTATCCGAAGAAATGTTACGTCTGACAACAGTACTATTCACTAAATTAGTGATGACGTAATATTGGTCCCACTAACAGTAGATTTATTATTTATTTTTTGAGTGTGCTTTGTTTATCTAAATTATATAATTTTTGAACGTTCATAAATATATTTCTAAAGTAAGTAAATAACATGCAATAAGTATATAATCATTTAGCTAACATTTACATACCTTTAAACTACTTTTTAAGACCTGCAAACAATATTGATCAATATTTTAAAATAATATAAAAACAGTAAAAACTTATATCGATACCTTTTAATAGGAAGTATTCCATGTTTTTCGGAAATTGCGCTTTTGAGAGTATTAGATTAATTGAATCGGTAATTTGGAAAAGGGCACAAAATTCGTTTTATGCGATTTTTCTATAATTTTACTGAACGCGGACCATTTGGTACAAAATATCACACTAGACTCCTAGAACTGCATTATCTAGATACCTGTTTTACTGCGTTTGGTTTACAAAGGTCATATCTGACACACAAATGTGACCTTTTCGAAATAGTTACGCTGAAATGATGGCGTATGTTATGGCATGTAATCACGCTTCAGACCCTAAGATTAAAATTTCAGTTTAAAATTTTTTGTTGTGGTTTGTAGTGTAAACATTATATAGATGGGCTTATTCTGTCATCTTTTTAACTAGCAAAGCCTGCCGAGTCCAAGGTGAATCTTCTAGCTGAAGAGGCATATAATACCTTTTACTGAAATCCTTAATCCAGTATATTCCCCAATAAAACAAAGAATTTTACAGTTAAGATATTTGACAAGCCAACAGCGGTCTCCAAAAAGATAGCCGAAGAAGACTTCTAATATTTTTAGGATTTTTTTTTTTTCTATTATAAAGTTACCTAACT